TGAGAACTGCAATTTGAAAATTAGCCTTTAGTATGGCATCCAAAAATTAACTTTTAGTACCATAAATAAACTACCAATGCATCTCTTGTATTCTTTTCTTACAGAGCTTTTTCATTCTCACCTTTCTCTTTTATGATTACTAGTTGTAGCACACGTGCCTTTGCACGTGGATCATTTTGAGTTATGATTTTTATTTTTGTAACTTTTTAACCAAAATATATGATGACAAATGATGTCTGAGACAAATGTTTGTTTATCTTTGCAAAGTCACCAACCATATCTACCAATTTTTTTTTACGTCATAAAATGTGAAGAAATAATCTTCTTGTTGATGTATACATACATTGTAGGTGACATATTTTGAGCATTTCACAAATTATCTGACACCCTACATTGCATTTGTGGTTGCACAACTTGAAAGTCCATTATTCTACTATATATTTTTGCATGCAGCAAATAAGAACTCAAAAGATTGAAAATAACTAAGTTCATTGAATTAATGATCAATTGCAATGTATTCATTATGAGCACAATAGGCACAAAAGAGATGTTCCTATACTCCATCCCTTTCAAAAATTTCGGGTTGCCATCCTTAATTACTAACAGACTTGAAGTGTGCCACTGCTTGTGGACATACATTTAGTCATTCAACCCAACATTACAATCAATCATTTTCTAGCAAAAAAAAAATATTCATAGTACTTTCATGAGCACTAAAAACATTCTAAATGTATGGGATTATTAGTTACAATGGTTGGAAATACCCCAGAAACTAAGCCACTAAGTTGTTGCGCATGTCAATATAAAAGAAGGAAACAAAAATGAGAATCACCAATCATGGTGGGTTTTTATAATCTTTCAAAGTATTAGAACCTGAATCACCTAAAGATCAAATTTTGTCTTGAATAAACTTGATCAAGTTGTTCAATCACTCCATGTTAGGTTTCTTCTGTTGGTCTACCTAAAATGCTTCACATTGACAGAAAGAAAGAAAGAAAGGCCGTCAGTAAAGAGCCATCAAATGGAGTCATGAAACACTTAATGGGACTTTGTGTGCTTAATCTATGCAGCATCTAGGCCACACATCAACTGCATTGGAGTAATTTTTGGCGTCAATGAGGAGTTGAGATACCTTATGCCACCAATTCACAGCTCAGGAAGGAATTACCCATAATATGAGAACAATAGTCAAAAGGGGAGCGAGTGACACAACTACAGTGTCATTTGGATGTGGTGCTAAAACATTGTCATAACATCTAAACAAATAATACCCATTTTAATCACCCTTAATGAGAGGGGAAGAATAAACCAGGTATAAAGCTAATCCTTCGCATAATTTCCATAAAGCGATGACCTTTATATTTGAACACAGAATTTTAAGGTAACTTAGTCAAATTTCAACTATTAAACCAAAGACCCATGTTATAAGCATACTTAATGCGAGAGACTCTCGTCACTGCAAGACATACAAAGAGATTGATTTTTTGGTAAATTGTTTAGGACTTTAGAAATTAATGCCCAAAACTCGGGCATTCTATAAGGAGCTTCTTCTGCATCCAACAGAGTATATAAAATTGCATCAATATCACCGCATAGTACATGTCTGAGGCAACTGAAATCAATACCCACAACCACCAAAATGAGGTAAATGGCATTTAAAACAATAAGTATTTGAAAAGAAGAAATGTCATACTACTCTTGTCATTGTTCGGCTAAAACAACAAATGAGCAGAAGGTGCCGAAAGTAATGTTTGAAGTAAAGAACAAAAGCTGGTGGGAAAAGTTAGGAAAAAAATAAAAATGAAAAAAAGCAATTCGTACATCACTATCATCCGCCACCAAACTTAATGCATGTGATTATTCGTTATATATGTATACATGCACTATGGAGGGCTGTTGTTTCCATATGTACAATTCCTAAACTGTAATCATAGTTAGATTATACCACTAAACTTACCTGAAACAATTAATTGTGTTATTTTAATTTAGTAAGATCTATAATATCCAAATCCGATGGGAACCAACCAAGAGAATAAAAAACTAATTAAGGGAAATTAGAATACTGAGACCATATTGAACTATGTAATCCACCTTCAGGTAGTAAACTACAATGAACTTGGTCTATTATATAAACACCATAATCTAAAATAAAATCGACCACATTGAGTCATATAAATGCAATACTGAAGGTGTATATTATTGCGAAAGTGCATTAGTTTGAAAAGTTTTCATTCCATGACAATTCAACATTCTTAGAAGTGCCCTAGTAAAAAATGCTGGCCTTTCAAGAAAGCAAAATGTTGGCCAAAGATAACAGAGATATAGGAGTCAATGAACTAACACACGTCAGTTCGAAAAATATTGAATTTGAATTAAACAACTCAACAAAAAAAAATATAACCACCATGATAATAGCTTAAAATTGCTAAACAAATCCATCAGCTTCAATGACAAAACGCAAATGGAAAGACTATTGTATCAACACACCATAGCTTGAGGGCGTAATACACTAAACAACACACCTCCTTCGTCAGAGAGCATTTGATCCACCCATTATTGTTCTGAAGCGGCACAGTTTTTTCTTCACAATTAGAGTGAGATAAAAAGATCCATCTTTTTTGAGGGGCAATAATATCAAACATAAGGTTCACCACCAATCAAGAACAATAACTCATTAGAGATGCCACATTGGATCAATAGAAAAAAGTAAAAACATCAAGCTGAAACAAACTGGAAAACAATGCCACATTAGAATATTAGGTACATGATAAATCTTTCAAACAATATAAATAAAAACTAAGCGAGCTTACCCACGTATTTAGAGATCTACTGATTGCTAGTCATAAGAGAGAAACTTGTAGTGCCCACAAAGGTGTTTTTAACGATTAACACCTCCAAGAAAAAATCGGGTCAATAATCACAGTTTATACCATTAAGGAAACATAAGTAATTGATTTTTTGAGTATTTAGATTTTTTAATCCAAAAATGGGAAAATGCATTACTCAAATTAAGATCACTCAAATTCCCAGAAGAAGATTGTTGCTTATGTATATAACCATATAAAACTAAGAGTTCGCTGCATCAAGTTCACGGAGGTTGTGAGTCACTACGGTTTCTTAGTAGTGGTGGAAAATAAAAGATGTCTTCAAATTATACTATAACTGATTTTCAATTACGTGTTAAAAAAACTTAAAAATACTCAATCTATGGATCCCATTTGCAGAAAAGAAGTATAAAAATGAACAATAAAAAGTTGCAGCTGTAAGATTATGTGTACCACACGTCTGTTAAAGGGTGAGAGATCCATTAAATTAACTAAGTCGTGTTATGATTGACTAAATCAATTGAGCCCACCACTAAAATTTCACTAAATCCGAGAATTCAATTTAATGTAACTTTTAACTCAAGACAAAAAAGAAAAGAACAAACATAACGGTTGGTGGAAAATATATCAACCATAACGAAAACACCAGCGGTGGATCTTAGTTTTCTAACTATTCAAAGTACACATTCCAAGTCTTAATGAATTCAATTCCGTGATGAGCAGGAGTTTTTTCATTCGCTTCTGAACATAAACCCTAAAAATTTTTCTCATGAAATTTGACCATCTTCATAACATGAAAATTTCAAATACCACGAAATCTTATTTTTGCCGAATGTGTAAACAGGGCAGCATATGCATATTAACGAAGAGCAAAAAGCATAAGAATTTAAAAGTAACTATTCAAATGCATCATCATCATCTGGAAATTACTACTCAAACAGATCACACCATCATCATCAGGAAGCAAACAAAATGTTGATGGTATTATAGTGGTACCTATCTTTCAAGGGGAGATCGGATGCATCGGCTTTGGATCAGAGTCAATTAGAGGCTCCATTGAAACGATTTCTCTAACTTGGCAGGCGCCATTGAGGTAGCAGATAGAGTGAAGGATATGTGGGGAGCTGATCGGTCAGAAGCTTTATTTATTTATTAATTTATTTTTGTAACTGATATGGAATGCGCAGTGAACATATTGAATGTAAAATATTCTGTATTCAGTGTACTGTGTTCACATTAATAAATAAGGACAAAAATGACTTTAACAGATTAAATAGGGGTAAAACAAGAAAATAAAAGTTTTTCAAGTTTACTCACATTTTATAGTAAATATAGATATAGATTAAAAATAAAGATCAATAATAACTAATCGCATCTCATCTTAGATTCTCGTGGCTGCCGATCAAGTTGATCCCTTTTGTAATCATATCATCTCATCCTTTTTGTAATCAAATCATCTCACATCAGGTCTATATAAGACCAATTACTGTAACGTACATGCGTGGTGAGACATAAGAACTTTGATTCTCGTATGGTACCGGAGCACAATTCCCGATCAACTTCTTCAATAACGAGTGCATCTTCAACCAATCCAGAAACACCTTCCAACAGTCCCCTCTTTTCTCTTTTTACGTCCTCTAAATCGCCCACAACAGCACTCTCACAACAAAGATTGAAGAAACCAACTACTCGATCTACGTATCTCAAATTTTGTCACACCTCCGAGGCCATGAAGTTATCGGATATGTCGACAGCACCACCCCTTGTCCTCCTCAGTACCTCACGTATGGTTCAACCAAGATCCTTAATCCTGAATTCGTTGCTTGGCAACGGCAGGACCAACTACTATTGGGATGGCTCATTTCATCACTAACAAATGATGTCCATGCCCAAATCATTGGGCTCCCCACGTCCCACGCCGTGTGGACAGCGCTTCAAGCATCATATGTGGCTCACTCTCGAGCTCGCACTCTTCAACTATGGAGTTATAGTCTATGAAGAAAAGGTCAGACTACATCCACAAATGCTTCTATCGAGCAAAGAAGATTGCTCACCAGCTCGCCATTGCCGAGCGTCCCATATCAGATGATAACCTCATTCTTTAAATTCTTGGAGGCTTACCCTCCACATACGATCACCATTTCACCTTGGGCAGATTCTTTATCCCTATCCGATTTATTTTGGGTCACCTCCATCTCTCAAGATGTCATTCCTTCGCAAATCTCCCCGGCACATGATCTCGATGATGATTGCAATAGTGGAGATTGAGAGGACCCAGTTGGCCGAAGCACGGGTGGAGGGGGTAACCAAACCGTCAAAGGTTTGGGCAGTTAAGGTGGTTGCAACCGTGAAGCTGTAAAAGGAAATGAAGATTCGTCAAATGACATTTCGCGTTGTATATAGCTTTCAATTGAGTAGATCAAAGCAGAGATAGCCATGATGTTGAGCGCCATATCCAAGAAATACACAAGGCGTTGAGTGAAACTTAAACTTGTCATGGTGATACGGTCGAAGGCAAGGGCAGCATGGACATCCAAAGAACTTAAGAAACTTATAATCTGGTGTCTTGTGGAAGAGTTTGTGGAATGGAGTATCATGACTGACAATCTTGAGTTTGTGGAATGGAGTATCATGACTGACGATCTTGAAGACGAGGCAGTTGATCAAATATGTAATGTTAGATTGACCAAATTTATTGATCAAATATTCATCCCAAATGAAATGGCAGAATATTATTTAAAATTTTTATTGGAGCTCAAATGACATGACACCAAATAAATAAGCTCAAATTAGTTATCATGTCATTTGGGATGAATATTTGGTCTTCAAATTTGATCAATCTAGCATTAATTGTTGTTGTTTGCCTGTTTGAAATACAAAGTCGCAAAATTCAAAACGGAATAAATGCTTGAGCCAATAGGGCAAGACCGGTTTCCACAATGTGTTGGTGCTTCCATTCAGAGGCACTATTTTGTTGGTGGGTGTGTGGACAAGAGGCACAGTGACAAATTCCATGTTGTTTTAGATAAGAGGAAATGATATGGTATTCATCACCCCAATCACTATGCAAATCTTTGATCCGTCGGGAGAATAGATTGTCAACTAACGGAAGTTAATAAAGCATTGCAGCACATTAATCTCCTCTTCACCAAGAAGCCGCTACAGTACCTCCTATGATGCCCCAAAACTCAAGACCCGATTCTCTTCACCGGGATCATAACTACAATAAAATTTGGCAGAGTCTCTTTTATCCTAGAGCACAACCAACACATAACCTATTCACGCATTAACCGTATGACTATTTTAAGGTCCAATTTTTATTAATTTGTACTTAATATTTAACCAATTTCATATTTCAAAGTAGAAAACTCGATATCTGAAGGTTTGACAATGTTGTATTTAAATTTTCAAATTTTGGAAGAGGTATCGGTACCACTTACACCTGGTACTGGTACCTTTGTCTTCTCGTTACCAAGTATGCTAAGTACTAGTACCTAAAAAACATGGTACCGATACCTAGGCTTTCTATTTTCTAGGTACCGACACCTATGTTCCTCAGGTTTACCGGTACCTCTGTGCCTAAGTACTGGAACCTAATCCCACTAGAATCCAGGTACCGATACCTACAAGGCCTGGGTACCAATACATGCGTTATTTGACTACGTGGTACCGGTACCTAAAAGCTTAAGTACTGGTACCTAAGTCCAGATTTTTCCTAAATCTCAACTTTTAACATCAAAACTCATACCAAGCCTCGTCCATTCATTCATATACTTACCCAAAGGCATTGTTTAACAAAATTCCACTACATTCCTTGGTTAAAGAACAAGTCTTGTACAATTCCAAACAAAAACTATATAGTTTTACAAGTTTGTACAATTCCCAAAATCAAACCACCAGTATGATTACAAAATGCAATACACGAGCCACAACCCGGCTTGGTCGTCAACATGGGTCGAATGAGGGCCGTCCACTGGCGCCTGTCTAATACCTAAAATGTAGTTTTCATAAAGGATAAAACTATGCTCAATAGGGTATCTCATAAGGAGGCTACTCCCAAATCCAGATTCATATGAAATATTACATATAATTCATCAAACAAGCATTCACATAAATCATAATTGAATGATATTATGTCATGTCATGTCATGAGGTGGAACTCAAACATGCAATGCAACCTGGGCTCTCCACCGGCTCCCATAATGCATGTCATTCATGCCTATGCATTCGAGCATTCGAAGCACATTCCATTGACGTTAGACATCCAATTACCATTTTATAAAAACCTTGTGTCATTCTTGGGATCGGTATTTATGGACTCCCACCAATAGGTACCCAACCGACATGATAAATGTGGACTTCCTCCAATAGCTCCGTGTACGCTGACACACTTTATGAACTTTATACAAGCGGAAGTGCATATTCGAGATTTTCAGGTCTTGCACCCAAGGGAGAATCTAGCACATCTTGCTAATCTTGACACATATTTTCAATGTAACTCGTGTGACTCCGTCGAACTTAGGTCCAACGTTCCCGAGCCCACGTATCAATCCACCAAAAATAGTGTTTGATTTAAAAACATACATGCATCGATGTCAAATGCTCATGAACGCTATGCTACACATGCATATGCAAATGTAATGTTCAATTGCATTCCACCATATCAGGTTCTTCATATTATGAGCATATGTGAACATATTCATTTTCTTCTAATGTCAATTATATCAAAAAACATATAATCATATTTCATAAGTCACCAAGCATGTTACAGCATATTCAACACAAATAACACACTTATACTCATAAGCATTTTATTACATGCTTATTAGGCAAAATTGTGTAAGCAAATAACATGCACAAAACAACACCTTTCTCATGAAATTCCAATCAAGCAATTTCATCAAAACCCAATCATGCAAAATTGGTTCAAACATGTTCTTATACCCATTTTTCATACTCACACTAGGTGAATGCTAAACAAGAGATTTCTTCTCTAATCAGCCTATCCATTTCATACACAACCCTAGGTTGAAAATAAATCTAGTTAGAAAAAGAATTCTACATCTTGAAGCGTATTCCTGCATAGAAAAAACTCCAAAAGACCCAAATCTAACTTCTAAGCCTTGATCTCAAAAATTCCATTTTGAGATTATGGTGAAACTCGTGATCTTTGATATGTACGCGTAGCTCTAGCCGCATAGAACAACTTTTGTTTTTGGCCCAAAACAATCTAACTATCGGATTGTCGTATATCGGAGAAGGAAGCTTGGAGAAATCTCTCTCCCCCCCTCTCTCTATCTAGAAATGGCTGGTATAAATGGGTAGAAAATATGATTTTTCTTCCCTATTTATAATCTTCTTTGCTTGGCTCTAATTAAGCCACACGTCCTGTCTTTTTCTGATTCGATTTTATCGCGAATCAATTAAATCTCATCTTATGTTAAGTTCAATATATTTTATTTGAATTAAATTTAATTTATTTCTTGGGTTTCATGAAAAAATTTTGATCGCATTATATTAGTCGTGCGAAGCCTGATTTTATCGTAAAATGTGAAAATTCAGACTATCTCAGAATTTGACAAAAAATGATTGGGCAACTAGATTTTGCGAGACAAATACAACAGTGAAGTTCGTTTCATCATCCGAGTTGTAGAAAAATTTGAGTTCTCAACCCGTACCGTAGCGACAAATTACCATTTTTCCCTTTTTCATAAAAATTAAGTTTTCCCGATTTTTACACCTTATGCGAGCCACATCTATTCCATGGCCATAAGAACTCAAGATGGCACCCAAAGTCCAAAGCTTATCAATCTGGCCACAAAGTACCCACTCCCACAATGCTATTCAGCGCAATCTTCCATAGATGATGTTCCAACATGTGTCACCGTTGCATCTCATGACCACAATTAGCGTACTGTTATGGCTTCTAAGTTAAATGCCTTGGTTCAAAATGGCTCTTGGACACTTCAACAACCTCCCCCAAACGCAAATATAGTTGGTTACAAGTGAATTTTTCATATCAAATGTAAAGCCGATAGCACACTTGAACGGTATAAATCTCGTCTTGCTGCATAAGGCTTTAACTAGCAAGAAGGTAGACTACACAGGCACATTCAACCCCATCGTCAAACCAACCACAATTCGCATAATCTTGAGCTTGGCAATCAGTCATAAGTGGCTGATTCGACAACTCGACATCAACACTGCCAGTCTTCATGGTAATCTTGCTGAAGAGGTGTATATGAAGCTACATCCCAGATTCATTGACCCTCGTTACCCTCACCATGTGTGTCAATTACGAAAATTTCTTTACGGACTTAAACAAGCATCTCATGCTTAGTTTTGCACGCTTGGGCACTTTTCTCCTCAATCAAGGATTTGAGGCATCCAAAACAGATCCCTCTTTGTTCATTAATTTTACCATAGGCCTCCCATCTTTACATACTGGTGTACGGTGATGATCTCATCATTATCGGAAGCTCCTTGGACTTGGTTTCTTCCATCATCGATTGGCTTGGCATTGAGTTTGTAATAAAGGATCTAGGTCAAATCAATTTATTTTTTTGCATTTAAGTTCTTCATACTGCCATTGGTTTATTACTCAACCAACGCCAGTACATCATCGGCATCCTGAAGCGGGCAGCTATGGACAATGCCAAACCCATCTCTAATCCATTTTCCCCAACAACAAAACTCTGATGGACTGATGATGTACTATTCACTTATGCCACATTATATCGGAGTGTTGTCGAAGCTCTCCAATATGCCCATGATCACTTGGCCTGATCTATCATATTTAATGAATAAAGTTTCTCAATTTATGCAGCAGCCTACACTTGCTCATTTAAATTTCATGACGCGAATACTTCTTTATCTAAAGGTCACTCTCAATGTTTGTTTACCCATCACTTGACATCCATCCTCTATTATCTTTGCATTTTTTCAATGATGATTGGGCTGGATGCCTTGACGATCTTAAATCCACTAGCCGGTATGCCATATTTGTTGGCCCCAATCTCGTCCCCTGGTCCTCTCGCAAACAAAAATTTGTTGTGCGTTCAAGCACTGAAGCCAAATACAGGGCTCTTGCGGATGCCACAACCGAGATTTGTTGGCTTCAATTACTTTTCCAAGAACTTCATATTCTACCCGTCAAACCTTTGGTGTGATGATGTCATTGCCACATTCCTTACGACAACACAAATTTTCCATAACCGCATGGAAACACATTGAGATTGCTTTTCATTTTGTCCGGGATAATGTGGCAAAATAGAATCTTTGGGTGCAATATATGTCAACCAAAGATCAAACTGTGGATATTCTAACCAAGCCTCTTTCAACACCGCATTTTTA